TTTTTTATCAAAATAACTGAAGTAACCAGAAGTAAATTACATACATCTCTGTATTGGATGCAATTTTCTTGTAAAGACAAGATTTGAAAAAAATACCATCTAAAGAGGAGTGGAGGAACCTTGGCATTCCAAAGTGAAAGATTAAAGCATGAGCATCTAAATGGAAGAGCAAAGGCTGAAATCATGGCATACCCAGTGAAAAAGGGTAGGTTAAAGGGGTTCACACTAGGGGACTTTGACATAACAGTCCTCATGTAATTAAATGGCAGCTGCTAAATTGCATTTGGATAGATACAGATTTCATAACATCAAGCACTCCCTAAGATTTCTAAAGCCCTGGCATAGGTTATTTGCGGAATCTGCAGCAGTTTTAGAAGTTGGTGACTGGTTTTACTGAATATTCCAGAAGCCCAGAGGAGATCATGGATGTGGTAGAAGGCTGGGGAAGGTTTGGTTTGGTTTTTGTGAGTGGACTGAATTGGGGGTACACAAAAAGCTGCACTGCTTCTGTTCCAACTGGACTGTCCCACACATGAATGTTCCTGGCCCTGGGATGGAAAAGCCTGACTGCTCCTGTCTTCATCCTGTTCAGTCATTGTCCCCCTCGATGACTTTTAGGGTTCACTAAAAAGCTACCTCTCCATATTTGAAGAAGAAAAGGGAAGATGCTCTGCAGTTTTCTCACTGTCCTCTCAGACTTGTGCTTGTGGCTTCTTTGCATGGGAAGGGAGCAGAGCCTGGTTTCCCCTGCAGCCACCCAAACCTAGCATAAAATCTGTTTATAAATCTCTCCTTGGTGCTGTCACCCCCTAGGCCAGGAGCTGGGGACACCCTGCTGAATGACACCACACATGGCAGCCCAGCTCACAGCTTCCCTGAGCCACATGGGCCAGCACTGCATGCCAGGCAAGCCAGCCTGCATCCCACATCCTGCATCCCACATCCTGCATCATCCCACATCCTGCATCATCTCATCTCCTCCATCACAGACCTTCCATGGCTGCCCTGCTTCTGACCTGGAGAGCAAGGCTGAGGCTGCAAAGGGGCTTCTGGAGCTACCAGTGCCCCAGTGCCAGAGCAAGCCAGATCTTCCCAGAACTTGATCCCTGAGAGCAGTTCCCCACATTTACCTGTCCCCTCCTATGTACAAGAGACATGGTAATAATAAAAAGACCTGGTCACATGGGGTGTATTGCTCACTGCAAGAAAGACACTCAAGGACCAGCTGCAAAGGGCTTACCTCCTTTAATTTTTCCCTACTTTCTGCAGAAAGGGTAATTGCAAAGATGATGGCCTGACCTTGGGCTGCATGATTCAGACCTTCAGATAAGTATTTTAACAAGAGCTCATGGGAGTGGCTGTATGAGGTGAAACAAGGGCAAGTCTTTATTTCACTTAAAAACGTCTTGGATTTTTCTCATTGCGGCTTGTTTATTTGACAGCAGCAGGACAAAGATGCCACCTACTCCTGGTGACTTATTGTCACCAGTGCTGTGCAGCCACATCCTGGTCATGGGAAAGGTGTCTGTTTATCTCAGTTCGGTGGTGGCACTTTTTTGGATGCTGCCAGGCCTGTTGGAATGAGCAGGACCAGCATGGAGAGCAGCTGGCTCGCAGCACCGGGAGTGCAGTCCCTGCCCAGGACCCACCCCGCTCTCCAGGCAAATTCACTGTCAGATGGCACCAGCAATTTCCATCTACACTCCACAGGGATTTTACACTGGAAGCAGCCTGTAAATTAAATAAGTATTGCAACATATTTGTAAGACAGCTGTACTAAATGCTTCCAGATATACATTCATCCTCGAGACATGTGTGGTCAGATGGGATCCAGGCAGCTTGCATTACTCTGCAACACTTGCTGGGCTCTTGCCATGGTTTTCTCATCTATCATGTGTTTGAGAGCTTGAAATGTTATTATTTTTTTTGGCATTACTGCTACATTTCATCTGTCATCACTAAGTGCTGCAGGAACACACAGGGACAGATGGGCCTGGACTCTTCTTCCTATCTGAATAAACACAGGCACAACCAGGGAAAGCAGCTCCTGCAAGGTCATGCTCTGGGGAAAAGTAGACATCTGCCACCTAAATTTCACCTGCCCAGTAAACCACATTTTCTGCAATGAATTCCAGCAGTGTGAGTTAAATCAGTGAGGAAAATCCTCTCCTTCTTCTGCTTAGGTGTCTAAAGTGAGTGGAGAAATTCCCGAGACCCAGAAAGCAAATTCCACAGCCTGCTGTGTCCGAGGTTGTGGCATGGGATGGAAATTCTTCAGTGTAACTGGGTTGTTTTATTGATGGCCTGAACTCTTGTGGCCCCAATGCCATCACGTGGACATCCACAGCATTGAGCCAACCCTCCAGAGGCTCTCTGAAAATGTTTGACAACTTTCCAAGTGTCCTTTAACACCCAGTTTCACCAGTCTCAAATGTTCAGAAGGTCAAGCCAAGTTTCTGTTCTCCCTGCCAGCCTCCCCAGATCGCTGTGGCTATCAGAAGACCCTTGTGCCTGCTTTTTCATGCTCAGATCTTCTTCTGGAGTCCTCCATCACCAGAGCTATAGATTCTCCTGGTGCTAACAGATTGTTCTGGCCTTGTCCCAGGCCCTGACAGTGATCAAACCAATACTGTCCCTTTTCACTTTACTTGCAGCTCTACAGCAACTTCACTTTGCCTTTTGAACTTTCATAGTTCCTTCCCCTGCAAAACCCCTGAATTTTCTTCCCCTGACTCTCAGCATTCATGGCTTCTCTTGCTGTGAATCCTCTGAAATACCTGAGAAAGGTTTTTCTCTCTCCTCCACCAGTGAAATATACCATGCAGAGGCTGGAGGCTGGATTAAGCACCCAGTTTTTCACCCATGGTGCTTTTTTATCACCCAAGATCAGATTCTTGCTCCAAATTCCCATAAATGTGGGTTTATCCACTCTGTCCCCTATGTTCCCTCCATATCAGCTCAGCACTTGACATCTCACTTGATTTTCATGATAACCCATATCCCTTGGCTTCTTGCTCAACAGTGGTTATTGGTTATTTTATAACTATAGGGAAGCCAGTTTGATAAAAATTGACCCTGATCATCGTTAAACCCATTCTCCAGGGACTTTGTCACCATTGAGAATTTCTGTGTTGTTATAAAACTCATAAAAACTTATAAAAGTTTTATCTACAGCTGCACCAGAAACTGGCCTGGCCTCTCCACCTGTGGGTATGGGGGTATTTATGGGTTATTTTGTAAGGGACTGATGAAAGGTGCCAGCCAAAGCCACATTGGTGAGTCTGGTAATGATGTAGGTACCACGGGACATTCCAAACAGCTCCATTGGCACTGAACAAAGGCTCAACCATCAGACCTCCCTCATTTCCTTGTGCAAACCTTGTGAGGGACCCAACTACACAGCATCATATTATTTATGAATACTCTGCAAGTTTCCACAGGAGAATTTGTCATGTCAAAATGTGTCCCTTATGTTCTTTGGCTACAGCCAAAGCCCTCCCTAATAAATGCCTAACCTGGTTACAGCTTTCTGGCTTGTAAAGATCAACTTGTATCTCTTCCCTGAACTTTCATGCAGGTCCAGCTGGCTCACTATAAAAAGACACACAATTTTCATGAAGATGGCCAAGTGTGTGAAAAGGTGACACTGCTCAGTGTACCGCCTACCAGGGATGTTCTCCAAGGCAGTGACAATGAACATCAGACAAACAGTGGGTTTTTTTCCAGCAAAATGACTCTACGAGCAGAAAATGTGGGACATGGCATATTGTAAAAACTAAAGGGAAGTGCCCAAACATCAGAAGTCCTCTGTCTCAGAGATGTGTTACATTGAAAAGAAGCACTCAAAAAATTCAGCAGCCCTTATACTGTAGCTCATCTATCAGCCTCCACAGCTGATAACCCATTTAATCCTCAGCAAACCCATTTAATAACATCCCAAGACACAAATGGGACATTATTTCAGCCCATCTGGGGGTCCCGCTTTTTATAATATGCATGCAAGTCACCCACACACATCAGAGTTCCAGGCCCAGTTCTCCACCAACCATTCCAGGATTCTGGGATTATGGGATGTGAACCCAGGTAAGCAGCAGGATCTGCACAGGGATTGCAAGGAGGGTCCTACCTGGGCTCCAACCAAGCATTAGAGAGGTAAATGCAGAGCCTTTTTGGAGAAGATGAGGTGGACAGAGGAAGGAGAGTTTACCAGGCCTGTAGAGTGAACAGGGCCTTACCATCACACCTCCCCATCGTGTGCTCTCAACCTTGCTGCAGCTCACATCATGCTCTGCAGCCTTTTCCTCTCCTTTTCTCATCTACTGGCCATGGTAATTCCTCTGGACAGCAGTTTTGTCTCCTGGCTTGTCTGTGGAAGGAGCCCTTGGGGAACAGGGCCACATCCCTCTCGTGCTGCTGGAGCTCTGTCTGTTCTCTGGATTGCGGCCCAGCAGAGCTGGGTGATGCTGCTCTCACCCGGAGCACTGCTGTCACAGGTGAAGGTGGCTGGATCCATGCAGTACCCACTCACTGAGGAGGGGTGGCCTGTGTGTTCCTCACTTCCTGGGGGCAGGTGAGAGGCTTCTACACCTGAACTCTCTGAGGACAGCACCGAGCTCAGCTAGAGCCCCAGCCTGCCTACATCTCACCTCCTCTCTCCTCTGGCTTCATCCACCTGGGCATGCAGGACTGTGGCTGTGTGTGACAGCGCTGCTGGGACTTCAGAGAAAGCAGGAAATATTCAGAGGCTGTTTGTTCTCCAGGTTGCAGGCATAGGCTGCAGAAAGCAGGTCAAAGGGTGAGTGAGTTCACAGGCTGCTGGCTGGGTTGACACAGTGCTTGCCATGATGTTCCAGCAGCTATAAATTGCTGTCAGCTCCACCAGGGTCAGCTCCTGCAGAGGAGGAGGGAGAGGGTTTTTACCTGCACTGAGCTCTCCACCTGGCTCAGGCGTGAGAAGAGAGGCAAGAAACAGGCAGGAGAAGGCAGTGTCCTGGAGCAGCATGGCATCTCTGCTGGACCTAGCCAGACCTTTTGCTGTCGTCCTGCAGCTGTCTGTGCTGCTTGCTGTAATCTTTGTGCTGCTGAAGGTGCTCCAGTTATACCAGGAGAGGAAAAAACTCATCAAAGCTCTGGAGGCATTCCCTGGCCCCCCAAAACACTGGCTCTATGGCCACAATCACCTGGTAAGGAGTGAGCTGGGCTCAGCTGGGTTGGGTTTGTCACAACTGTGCAAGGTATCAGACAGGATGAGAAGGACTGGATGGGGTGTGTGTTCCCTGCTCCTGTCTCTTCCTACAGGAGAGGACCTCTGCACAGGGAATGCTGCCAAGGCCTCTGCAGGGCAGGAGGAAAGGGTGCTGGATATATTGTGTGCATCATTTAGCAAAAAAAAGTCATGTTCTTTTCAATCATGCCCTTAAACAAAGAGTTATGGGACTGCCCTGAAGTTATTTAAATATGAGCAATCATAAAATGTCTCTCTGCTACATGAAACCTTCTACCAATAGGAGTGTCTTACCCTAGAGCCACTGAAAAGGGCATGGCCACAAAAGCAGGGTGTTTTAATGCAGCCATTTTCATCATTCTCTAGTGGAGATGTCTTGCTTTCACACTGCATGCCCACCTTGCACTGCTGAAATTGGGGAAGAGGGGTGTGACAGCCTTGGTCCTCCTGGCACTGCCCATGCCAGCTGCATCTCCCAAGCGCCACATGGGGCTGCTCCAAGCCCAGGCCATCCTAAGGTGTCTCAGCTGCCACCAGCCCAGCAGGGGACTCTCCATAGAGCTGTCTGGTGCTGCAGGGGTTTGGAGGCTCAGGCAGCTTTGCCTCTTGCATACAGTCCCTCTGCAACACTCACTCTCCCCTCCACCTGCAGCATGACAGCTCCTGTGTGGCAAGCAAGTCCTCCCACTCTTCCTTCATTTCCTAAGAGAGAATGTCGTGCTTGTGCTTTCCATGAGACTGCAAGTTTAACCTCTGCTCTCCCTGGCATGTCCCTCTTCTATCTTTATTAATCCCTGATTAACTCTCATTGCAGATAGGTTCTGAAAACTTCTTAGACCAGATAGTGTCATGGGGAGAAGAATATCCCTATGCCTTTCCCAGATGGTTTGGACCACTCCTGCCTTCTCTAATCATCCACCATCCTGAATATGCCAAAAGCATACTTGGCCGAACAGGTGAGTCTCTACCTCCGGTTTCAAGAAGTCTTTGACACTTTCCTGCCAAGAAAATACTGGGGAACTTGCCTGGAGTCATCCCCTCTGCCAGCTTCTTTCACAGCTATTGCAATTCTTCTTTTGCTCCTCTTCACAAACTCACAGGCTGCCCCAGGTTTCATGGAGCAGTTTGTAGTCCTGTGCAAAACAGAGGGCAGGTGCCTGTTCCTTCCAGTTTCCTGTCAGTTCCCAGTTTGAGGGTCATCTGTCTTATTGTCTTCTATGGCTTCTACCACCACAATATTTGTGCTTCCCAGTAAACCCAGTAAAAAGTGTGAGCTGTCATGGCAATGGCTCTCAGAAGGCATCTTCAGTCTTCTCCTCTGCTCCCTTCTGTGGAATGAGCAGTATGAGTGGTACATACATGGCCATCCCCAGTAACTCCCATCCATTGTTCTCAGTTTTGGAATTTGCCATGGCTGTTTCTTTTCCACACACATTTTTTTTGTTCCAACTTTCTCTGTTTTTTCAAGTCCACTGCTGTCATAATTGTAGATGATCACTTTTAAACTACCTCTGGTGGTACAGTATTTTAAATATTGAAATGAGGTGAGATTAATTCTATCATGTGATTTAGAGGGCGAAATCTAATGCGAATTTATCCTGAATTTTCTCTTTTGTTGTGTTGAATTCATTATTTATTCATACATTTCTGATATCTGTTTCATTTTACAGATCCCAAGGCTAGTGTACCCTACAAATTCCTAATTCCCTGGATTGGTAAGTCAAAAGCAGCAGTAAGGCTGTCAGAGCTGTGATCAGAGCCTGCAGGAGCTGACTGTGCCTTTGCTGTTTGTGCTTCAGGGGAGGGGCTGCTGATCTTGGAAGGAGGCAAATGGTTCCAGCACAGGAAGATGCTGACCCCAGCCTTTCATTACGATGTGCTGAAATCTTACGTCACCCTGATGTCAGACTCAGTCAAAGTGATGCTGGTAAGAATCCCCACTCCTGCTACTTTTACCTTTCAGCTGTGAAACGGTGAAAATAAAAAAATGAGTGAGAGAAAGAGACAGCACTTAGAGAGTTTCTACTTTCACTGAATTTTTGGAGTAGTTTTGAGGTGCTAAAATAGCTCCCCTCACCTTCCTTTGGACATTCCACTCTTTCTCTTTGTTTGCCAATAAAATCAACCACTGCAAGAATATCCTCTCATACCTTGATGTATATCCTTTCCTACCTGGGAAAAGAAATGTGGAGAGGAATTAGATAAGGTTCTAATGGACTATATAATGAACTAGGGCCTCTGCTTCCAGAAAAGAAAGCAATTTGAAATGTGGATCTGGGAAGAGGGACAGGAAAATACGACCACAGATGGCGGTCTGTCTCTCCTTACCCCTGGCTCTCCCTCTAGGATAAATGGGACAAGAAGATCATGGAGAGGAAGTCAGTGGAGCTCTTTCAAGATGTCAGCTTGATGACACTAGACATCATCATGAAGTGTGCCTTCAGTTGTAATTCCAACTGTCAGACTCAGAGGTCAGTGCCTGAATTTCCAAAGCCTGGCAAAGCAAGTGCTCCTGTTTCACCACTCATTTTGCTAACACCAGCTTTCACCTCGGCCTCCTTACAGCGACTCCCACTATTATATTAGAGCTGTTTTTGACCTGACCTACCTCCTGAGCCAGAGAATCCAGTCTTTTTCCTTCAAGGATGTCTTCTACAACTTGACTAGCAAAGGCCATGAGTTTCAGGATGCCTGCAAGCTGGCCCATTCCCACACAGGTATTCCTGCCCTTTTCTCCCCAGTCCTTTCTCCCAGCTGAACCTCTCCTCTACTTGCCCCTGGAGTGGCCAGAGGGTTACACATTAAACAGAGTCCAAGCTGATGACCTAGTGGTCAAGTTCATGAGGGTACTCTGGAGGGGCAGGATGCACAGAACTCACCTCTCCTCTGTGCAGATCAGGTAATACAAGAAAGAAAGCTGTTGCTCTCCAATGAGAAGGAACTTGAGAAGATCCAGAAGAAGAGGCACCTGGATTTTCTGGACATTCTTCTTTGTAGCAAGGTGAATGTTTGAAATGATCCTACCAAACGCCAAACAGAACTGTGTGGCACCAAGGGTGCGTCAGCACAAGAAGGGAAGCACAAGAGACACCAAATCATAAAAGTCCTTTGGGTATAAGAATAAAAGACCTGTGTGTTTAGGAATGACATGCTCTCCTCTTTCGTAGGATGCAAATGGAGTTGGACTGTCCGATGAGGACCTGCGTGCCGAGGTGGACACCTTCATGTTTGAGGGTCACGATACCACGGCCAGTGGCATCTCCTGGCTCTTCTACTGCATGTCACTGCACCCAGAGCACCAGCAAAGGTGCAGGGAGGAGATCCAGGGCATCCTGGGGGACCGAGATACCATTGAGTGGTGAGCTAGGACTTCCCATTCCTTTATCTTGAGCTCTTTTAATTTACCCTTGAAGACCTTTGACAACCCTCCCCCAACATTCTTCTCCCTAAACTGGAGAGATAAGGATTTGATGGGTGGACTGTTTGGTGGCTGAGGAATTGTCTGGAAGGTGGCATCCAGTGGGTAGTGGTCAATTGTCCAGATCAGTGACAAGTGGTTTCCCTCAGGGGTCTGTACTGGGACAGACCAGTAACATTTTTCTCAGTGACATAGACAAACTGAGTGAGTGCATCCTCAGCAAGTTTGCTTTCAGGGAGGACCTTGGGAAGATGACCTACACCACGATGTGCATCAAAGAGAGCTTACGCCTATTCCCACCAGTTCCTGCTGTGTCCCGACAGCTCTCCAAACCCATCACATTTCCTGATGGACGCAGCTTGCCAGCAGGTCTGTGGAGTTTGTTCGTCCTTCGTGCTGCTGTCTGTGACAAGTGAGACTTTCTCACTCTGTGTGGAGGGGCTAGAGGGTTTTCCAGACTCCCTTCTCTCTCCTGTAGCTGTACAGAGCTACCACAGCTTGCTGCAGAGTGAGTCTGGAAAGGGTGGCCAGACAGAGTCCAAGGACATGCTCCAGAGCTCAGAGGAGACTTGTGGAGTGTTGTTCCTGGCCAAGTGAAAGCGATACACTGATAGAAATAAAGGGACCCTCTGAGGTCTTTATTTTTGACATGTGAAGTTTTCAGGAGATCCCTGCCAGATCTCCTGCAACAGACCCTGCAGAGCCCAGGGAGGGAGAGCATCCCCAAAACACCTCTTCTGCATTTTCACTCTGAGGTGTCATAAGCTTCTTCTCACTTTTCTTTTACAGGCTGCCAGGCTGGAGTGAACATATTTGCTATTCACAGGAACCGGGATGTGTGGGAGGACCCCGAGGTATTTCACCTTGATCACAAGAAAGGGAAGATGGTCCCTGAGCCCAGACATCCATTCCCCTTGAAGAAGGCAGTCTGTGCCCCCCTCTTATGTTTTTTTTCCCCCCTTGTCATTCCAACAGTCCACATCTAAATGCAAAGTTCAATCGAGTTACCAAACACCCCAAAGGCTTTGAACATGACAAAGGGCTGGGAAAGGGTGTTCAATAGTCTCTCTTTGTGCATGGTGACACAGAGATGCTCTGAGTGCTTTCAGTTGCCCTGCACACACTTAGAATGGTATGAGAAGTCTCAAGCCCCACAAGACAGTGTGTGATTTGAAGATGGTGTTTTAGAGGCTTCAAAAAATAACTGGAAAGTTTGAAGAAGAGTGCATAGCTGCCTCTCTCCAGTGGCTGTCAGGAAAGCAAGGATCAGGCATGTCTGGAATGGAGGGATCCTGACTTGATCCTTGCTGCCATGGATGAGAAAACACTTGCAGGCATCTTGAGCGTTGTAGTGGGTGACCTGGGTGTCTCCAAGGGAAAGATCCACTCATTGGCTTTGTAGAGAGATGAATGTCATCTGCTGCTCCCCCAGGAAGAGCAGGGGTCACATCCAGCCCTAACCTGGGGACCAGGGAAGAGTCTGGTGCAGCTCAGATCAGGACAAACACCAACCAGATGGTCTTTGTTGCTCCCACAGGTTTATGATCCCCTAAGGTTTTCTCCAGAGAACTCAGCACAGAGGCACTCCCATGCTTTTCTGCCTTTCTCTGCTGGATCCAGGTGGGAGACCCTTCATCTCTTTCCTTCTTATCAGGCTGCCTTGCATGTGAGACTTAGCTCAGATGTGAGCTCCTAAGGCTAATCTCCCTCAGTCTGCACAAGCCAAGTTTGCTTGGCCAGCTCAAGCAGGCTTTCAGTAACAGGATCTCCTATTACAGCATCTCCTGTAATAGGATTTCCATGCTCCGTCGGCTCTGTGGTCACTGTAGGATTTCAAACATTTTTCTTGTGGCTTTGTGGAGATATTTACATTTTCTGTTGCCTGCATTGGGAGCACCACTCCCTTGTTTAGGGGTGAATCCCTCAAAGCCAAGGGGGCCAAGTTTCCATGGTTCCTGTGCTGTATCAACAGACAGATGTAGGATACTGAGGTCTCAGTAGCTCGCAGGAGGATCACCACACAGAGCCAGAAATATCCTTTTGGAGGTGTCTGAGCTTTTAGCTGGATCCTGGCTGCAATTCCTAGTAAAGTAAGCCCCTGTTCTCTCAATCTTGTATCTTTTTTCAATGTTTAATAATAAAATAAATGGTAATACCCCACAACAGAGTTGGGTGCAGCATCAGGGGCTTTACTAGATAAGCTGTGGTGTCATCCTCACAGCAGCTGGAGGTCCCCCAGCTCACACATGGGGTGAGTCCAGCTCAGGGGTGGCTGGGGAGGATGGCAGCAGCTGGAGCACTTGTCACCCTCCAGGAACTGCATCGGGCAGCAGTTTGCCATGAACGAGATGAAGGTGGTGCTGGCTCTGACCCTGCTGCACTTCGAGCTCTACCCAGACCCATCCAAGCTTCCCATAGTGCTACCACAGGTGGTCCTCAGGTCCAGCAACGGGATACACTTGCATTTGAAGAAGATTTTCTGATCCCACAGGGTACCATGGCAGGGAGGCAAGAGCACCCCCCCCCCCCCCCAAAACACCCCCCCCCCTGGAAC